CCGAGTCCTGGCGTATTCGCAAACCTGCAAGTACTTAGTACTACCAGAAGCGATGTCCTCATCGCTCCGAGTGGTATCACTGACCGGACGGTACCATATTCCGGAAGGTGACCAGTGCAAGGTAGCAGGAATCTTACCCCTGGCGAAAGTGAATGGTTGCACAAGGAACTCCGATACAGTTTTTGGCAATCGCCCTTGCCCACTCAAGTGCCGGATGGATGATTTGAGAGACGCGTATCACGGGCCGATCCGCCAACGGCGTCCGTTGAGAATCCGAAGGGAAATGCCTCTTGAAGCCATTGCCTCTATGACGCAGGTGACGCTGAAAGTTTCATACGTGCCTGGTTGTAACATCTTACTGCAGTGTTACTGCGCAACATTTCTCGTACTATTACAAGAGCAGCGTTGAGTGATTCTTAGCGCCTAAAGTCATTAATGATGTTACTATATAGATCCCTCTAGACGAATCTAGTCACCACCAGCGAGGTCGCAATTCCGCACATGATGAATTTCGGACCCTTGAGTTCGCAAGCTAAAACCCCAGCAGCACGCATAGGCAGATGAAGTAGGACTTCAATTGGTAGCTCTTCCTGACCTATTCTACCCAAATATGTGGTAATACCGTTTTAATATCCGCAGTCACTCGGCTGTGCGGCATGAATTGTACGTAAACGCTACAAATATCTCGGAAGGAGAATCTTGATCCTAGCGCCTTCCTGACCACGACTCATGACAAGCAGGTTCGCTTGCTATTATCGACTCGACAAGCCAAGATAAACCTCCAAGGACAAGGCAGAAGATCCACAAATTCACACGAGGCCTGCATCAGAAGTCCAGAAATCAGAGCCTGCTGATTGGTCAATACAGCAATAAAGCGTCGTAAATCGCAAGTCAAAGCATGAACCAGCGGCAGATCGACACTAATACCCCACAATCGGGCAGTTGCGGCCACCGCAACGAACCCCCCGAGATACGAATACGACTGCCGATTGAACCACATCCACACAGCGGCCAGGACCCGACCACCGCAGATTGGACAGTGGACCAGAAGTCCTGGAGAGTTCACTCCACGAACGCGAGGCGGAATGCGTGGGAAGCGCGGATACAGGACTAAGTCCCCCGTCAAGCAAGTTACGGAGTACATAACAATCTTTCAGAGTTTGGTGTGATTTGCAGCTATGCAGCTTAATCCTCCGAGTACCTTTCGGGTGGCGGGCGGAATAACGGGACGCCCTAGCGTACCCGCTCTGTGGCGCGAAAGCTTAGCTCTGCGACGTCACGACGTATTATTACTACACAGGAGAAACATGCATCTAGCAGTCTGCAAGCCGTAGTCATGTTTCTTGACGGGGTTCGGTCTCTACGATGGGTCCCTTCGAGACTCGACCAGATCATCCAGCCCACTTCGCACTCGCGTCCGTCGTACATCTCGCACAATGGCGGACTCGCCAAGGTCCGTCGTGACGACGACGATCACAGCCAAAAAGATGGGATATATACCGACAATGGTTCGTCCGGCTTTAGATGATCGATCCAGGCAACACCCTCATCAACAGCACCTACAAAAACATACACATCAGATCAACGAACGCAACCGTGCCCCCAACGAATACACCAGCCAACAACCATAAGACAAACATTTTGCTCTCGGCGCACACATGTCATCCAATTTCTCTTTCGAGTTGGGCGGGGCGCCGTACACCATCCCCTCGCCCACTGAGAAGCCCATCGCCTATGTCGCCGCCGTCGTCCTCTTCGTCAGTCTGGCCTACGCCCTCGGCGACCATGGCGCCAAACTCCCCGAGATCAACCCGCTCAAGCCCTTTGAGTTGTCCAACACGCGCCGCATCCTCGAGTTCTACCAGACGAGCAAGGAGCTCATGCTCAAGGGGAGGGCCAAATTTGGCGACAATCCGTGGAAGCTCATGACGGAATGGGGCAATTGCTTGGTCTTGCCCCCTGACTTTATCCACGAGCTTCGCAGTAATCCCAACCTGGCTTTTGTGGAGCCTGCTAAAGATGTGAGGCAAAAGATTCCCTCTCTTTGTCTCCGTTCTCCTTTCCTTTCTTTCCCTAGTGACAAGTAGGAGAGCTGACTTGTTGGAAGGATTCGCACGGCTATATTCCCGGATTCGAGGCCTTTGATGGCGACGAAGCGCTTCCGACGGTCGTCACAAAGTATTTGACAAAAGCTTTGAGTGAGTTGAAGACTCCTCAGTGAATGTTGAAAGGACCCCACTAATCTTGTATTCAAACAGCCAAGCTTACAAAGCCCCTATCCGAAGAGTCGACACTCGTCCTCCGCCATGTCCTCACCGACTCAACTGGTGAGTCTACCCTACAAACTTGCCACCCAGAAACTTTAGCTCTCAGCTCTCAGGAATCTCACACCTCCGTGATACAGAATGGCACAAGATAAGCCCCCAGCAAGACATCATGCGCATCGTCTCCCGTCTCTCCTCCCGCGTCTTCGCCGGCGAGGAACTCTGCCGCGACGAGGAATGGGTCCGCGTCTCATCAGAATACACCGCCGCCGCCTTTGGCGTGGGCTACGAAGTCGGCCAGTGGCCCCGCTGGGCCCGCCCCATCGTCCACTGGTTCCTCCCCTCGTGCTGGCGCGTCCGCGCCCTCCTCAACGAGTGCCGCAAGACCCTCCAGCCGCACATGGAGCGCCGCGCACAGCGCAAGCGCGAGGCCGTGGCCGCCGGCAAGACGGGGGCCGTCTTCGATGACGCGGTAGAGTGGTTCGAAAAGGAGTCCTCGCGCAAGCCGGACCCGGCGACGCAGCAGATTTCCCTCTCGCTCGTCGCGATCCATACCACGACCGATTTGCTCACGCAGACCATGATTGATTTGGCGGAGCACCCTGAACTGTTTCAGCCTTTGCGCGACGAGCTCGTTCGCGTGCTTAGCAAGGAAGGTTTGAAGAAGACGGCGCTGTATAATCTCAAGCTCATGGACAGCGTCATCAAGGAGTCGCAGCGCATGAAGCCAGTCCTGCTCTGTAAGTTCCACCCCCCTTTTTTCTCTAAGCATCAAATACAAACTATTCGGATCCATCTCTAACAGCCTTTCCTCCCACCAGCAACTTGGCGCCGCCTCGTCATGAAAGACGTGACCCTCTCCAACGGCTTCGTCTTGCGCAAGGGCCAAAAGATCATCGCCACAAACACCCACATGTGGGACGCAAACTACTACGAGAACCCGGCCACCTACGACGGCTACCGCTTCCTCAACATGCGCGGCACCGACGAGGAGAAGAACGCGCACCTCGTCAGCACCAGCGCCAAGCACCCCGGCTTCGGCCACGGACAGCACGCGTGCCCCGGTCGCTTCTTCGCCGCCAACGAGGTCAAGATTGCGCTGGCGCATCTTCTGCTCAAGTACGACTGGAAGTTCCCTGACGGGTTCAAGCCGCAGACGATGCCGCATGGTATTGTGTTGCTGCCGGATCCTTCTGCGACGCTGTTGATTCGTAGGAGGAAGGAGGAGCTTGATCTGGACTCGTTGGAGTGTTGACCTGCTTAGGGTATGGTTCTGACATGGATGGAAATCTCCGCTCTGGGGTAGATTACTGGGATTTTCGCATTATTGAGCGCCTGTTTGGCAACATAGACTGAAAGAGTGGTCATTAGATCATCCAATATCTTTAGTTTTGGTTCTCTTTCCTTTGAAGAATAAACTCAATTCCAAGAATTGGAGTCGAAAAACTCTCAGGTCTTACTGCATATGGGAACAACCCTCCACTGCTTCTGAAAGCGACTAATCTCAAGGCTCTGTGATGCCAGGTTGATGCCTCTGTCACCTTGAAAGCTCATTCGCCTTGGGTAGGGGAGAGATTCGTAAGAGATACTGAGACAAAGTATTTAGCAATTGCCGCATCAATGATAAGGCATTCTTGCAGCGAGCATTCTTGGAGAACGAGCCAAGTGTCGGATTGGAGGGTGGCCAAAATTCAGGAGGTAAGGCTGTGTATGGCCTAGACCATGGAATGGTCGTTGGGAATGATTCAGACGGTTCAGTTAGAATACTGGAATGCCCTGAGTAGGGGGATATTTAGGCCAATTCACCCTCGATCCATTCACCAAGCGATTCGGGCAAGATGGCCGAGGGGTTCATGGGGGAAGACCCGAGTGTGGATCCCAGTCCCTTCGGCCATTGATCTGACGCTTGAGTTTTTGGTTCGATTCCACATGAATGACTTACTATTTTTTTTTCTACCTGCCTGGGGATGTGGGAGAGTACTTCACTCACTTCTCGGTGAGTTCTGTCACTAAGCGATTCGGGACAGGTGGTCGAGGGGTTCATAGGGGAAGACCCGAGTGTGGATCCCAGTCCCCCCGACCACTGATCTGACGTTTAGCTTTTTGTTCAATTCTTGATAGTGGAATTACTTTTTTTTTCTTCCTGGTTCATGTCTGGAGGCTCGAGGGTATCATACTTAGGATCCGTTTCCCCCGTCCCTATCACTAAGCGATTCGGGGAAGTTGGTCTAGGGGTTCATGGGGGAAGGCCCGAGTGCGGATCTCAGTCCCCTTGACGACCGATCTGACGTTTAGTTTTTGTTCGATCCCATTTGGAGGAACATTTTTTTTTACTCTTGCATGTTCCTTCCCACTCTGTGGGTTTTGTCTTATCCGCGCAGCATGTCAAAGAGAAGTCTCTCGTACTTGCCCTTCTTTCTACTATCTTGTCTGCCTCGGCTCTTGAAGTTCTCGCAAGTTTGGGTCACCAGCAGAAGATATGATGGTGTTCACTGAGGTATACTAGGGCGAGGGGAAAGGAATGACTTGGTGAACTTTGAATTGGCATCATTTTGAGAATCACCCGTGACGAACTCTTCAGATTGAGGCTATCGTGGCGTACCTTAGGTAAGGTAAACAAACCCGACGCGTCAAACAGAAATCTGATATTACATCAAGTCGTCCCCAGCACAAGATGCATCACTATTAACCCAGTTGGTACCAGAATGCTTCGTGAATGACCCGAAAACTGCCGAGTCAAGATAACTTCAAGTCTCGAATTCCCTTGACCACAACAGAGGAGCTGATATCTTCCTGAGCAACACGCTCAACACCAAGCAACTCCTTGGCAATATTGACAAGACCGTTACCTCGAAGGAATCCCTGTAGCTGGTCTTCCTCCCACTCCTTCTCTCCCTGGCCCTGGGCCTTGATGCCTCCGTTGATGAAAGGCCGTGCCACTCCCCAGATCTGACTGACATGGCTGGACCACTTCGCATCGGACTCCTGCAGTCTCTTCTCGAGGTCCCTGGTCTTAGCGTTCAAGACTTCGATCTCGTCATCGGACAGCTTGGACGGGATCTCATCCGCCTTATACACACGCGCCTTCTTTTGGGATGAGACCTCATCAGATCCATCGCCGAGCGAGGAACGCTTCAGGTTGCGGTACTCTGCGCCATCTAGTAGAAAAAGAAAAGACGATTAGCATTCCGAAGTCGCACTACTCATTTTCATCTTTTCCCAGAGGACTTACCCTGAGCCTTGCTCGCCTCTGATCTAGACTCCAGAACGTTCGGATCGACCCGCTCGAGGAACCTGTCAATGGCCTTGAGGAACGGGAGGAGATCTTCACGGGTCTTAGTGACGCCGTCATTCTTCTCGAGGTATCTCTTCCGGGCGGTCACGATCTTCGTAAGGACGGCCCGGGACTTCTGCCACGAGGAAGGGAAGTCCCAGCTGGCATCAACCTCCCGGAGAACCTTGAAGGTCTCCTCGTAAAGATCGCGCAACGTGTTCATCTTTGGGTTATCCTCAAAGACTCGAATCGCAATGACCATGACTTGCTTGATCCGTTCGCCGACGTGCACAAGTCTGCTGTGGGTATAATTGGCCCTTTTGTCGTAGTAGGGAAGGAGCATATGGCCAATGAGGCCGGAATACTTCATCCCTAGGATCGGCGAAGCAAATGGGATCTCAAAGTCGAGACCAGGCAGGCCCTTGAGGTTGGGATGAGCTCCCAGGTTCTTGAAAAAGCCTGGGACGGCGAGGGAGGCGAGATCTGGAGGGGGCTTCTCGGTGGCCTCGCGACTGCCGTCGGAGGAGCCGGGAGCTTCATCCTCACCCTCAGACTCGACAGGGCTGGAAGGTGTCTCTGGCACTTCCTCGCTACAAAACATCAGCTTGAGATCGGAGATCAAGGATGACAAATAAGCTGAGCATGTGAGATGAATATTTGAGCCAACAAAGGGATCTGTCGCGATATCATTCGTGAGGTAGGTACGGTCGAAGTCTCGAGGCAGTCCTCCCAGACTTGTAAATGAGAATCTCATGAATTGGGTAGTGAAGACAAGGGATGTACTCACACCATAAAGGAAGGCGTTGGGTGCAAGGGACGCACTACACGCGGGGTCGCCATCGTGTTGATTGGATGGATTGCGTTTTGTTGACGCGAAGACGACGATATGGCGAATATTGAGGTGCGGTATTTGAGAAAAGAGAGGGTCGGCTTCGTGGGCTTGCCTGGCAGAAGGTGTGGTAAGTACAAAATCTTCCTTCCTCCCCAGGTGAATTTCCACGAGTGCGGCTCTGGGATATGGAGAGTATTCCGAAACCCACAGAGAAATCCAACGTCACGTGTTGCCGTCGTAAAGGTGAAGTCGAAGGAGGCACGCGCGGGCTCGTGATGTATTCTCAAGGGGCGCAGTCACGTGGAGAGAAATGTGTTCTGGGCGCGCAGTTGACGCAATGTATACTACGAGAGAGTTGGTACAGCGTTGCAATCTCGTAGACCAGTACGGTGGCGACTGTTGATAAGAGTACTGAGAGGTGTTGCTTCCTTCTATAAGATATGAACCAGGCACGGCCAGCGTATCGGCCTTTGCTATGTATCTTTCCAGATATTTGGCTTACAAGTGTTTCCAAAAGGATATGTCGTCTAGTGATTGTTCAGAGACAGGAGAAAGAGATCGCTCGAATATTATTGTCAAAGGTCGTCGCATGGAATTCAAAACCAATGGAAGGTTCCAAGTCACGTATGCCTGCAAGGCATCTGGTCGGTGAGTATCGTGGAACCTAGCGCAGACCCAAGTTGCAGGCAGGAGGTCATGGGGCAGGAAGCTCGGTGGTGTCCGGGAATTTTGTTACCACTGCAATGTGTTACCCCTATAGATGTACAACTCGCCTGCATAGTCATCAGCGAACGGGTGATATGGCCGAGGGGTTCATGGGGGAAGACCCGAGTGTGGATCTCAGTCTCCTCGACCGTTGATCCGTCGCTGAAGTTTTTTGTTCGATCCCCTATCAAGGAATCATGTTTTTTTTTGGTGTTTTCTTTTTTTCCCTTTCTGCTCTTTGTATTTTACGAAGCCCGAACACGTGTCTTTGTGAACGAGCATTCGTCTGACCTCTTGATTTACGGACTGGAACGTGGCTCATTCCCGGCATTGATGGGAGATTTTGTTTGCAAATACTAGGAAATACAGGCTTAAAGGTTTCTCAACTGATTGGATTTTCTATCACAGCCTACCTAGTTCTACTCCATGGCTGCTACTTGCTAGTCTAACAATATTCCCGTCTCGTGCAATCACATGTGGTCCTCGTCAAAGTCGGCGATGCCAAGCATAGCATCAGCAATGCGGCTCGATCCGGTGGCTCGCAAATACTCTTAGAGCTGAGATGAAGCCCACTCCGTCTGACCCTGTTTTCTTTGCTTCTCGTCGATCTTAGGAAGAGCATCATCCCAGAGGCGGGTAATACAATAGTTGAACTCCAAGCTGCTCCGATTCTTGCGGTCCTTCATCTCGTGAAGGAGCTTGTGCAGTCCCTTGACCACCTCATCCTTTGCCTCAAGCTTGTTCTTCAGACCCAGCGCCATCTCTTTCCAGTAGCGAATTTGCTCCTCCTGGGCCATCTTCTCGATCTCTTCGTAAGCGATTGCGATCCGAGCCTTCTTCATGGTGTTCTGGATCTCTTCAGTCTCATCGTCGGATTCGTCGCGGGAGTGCTTCTTCTTCAAGTGCTTGGTGACTGTCCGAACTATTAGCCACTACCATCCGACTCTTGCTAATTCTTGTCTCAGACGTACCATTAGTCTGGAAAGTGGATTCAATCTTGAAGATGAAATGGTCGATAGGGTGAAGAAAGTTAAAGAACTCCGCAGGGATCGAGGTCATGTCGGCATCGCTGTCCAGAAATCTGCGGCGAGCCACCTTAATCTTGCGCATGATGACAGGGATCTTCTTGTGAGAAATACTAAAGTCTCTAGACTTGTCAGAGGATCGAAGCTCCTGGAAATTATAGAGCCAGAGGTTTCTGATGGTCGGAACCCCGACATTCATCTCGTATGTGCGAAACACCGCCTAGAACACAGCATGACGTTGACTAGCGATGGCTTTGATCCCTTCTGCAGAGTGCGGCTTGCTGAGTTCGTCTCGGGGAAGCGCAATCAGACGGAAGAGACCCGAGTAGCGACGGTTGAGAATTGGCACATCATCTCTAACGGCAAAGTCAAGTCCCGGGAGGCCACTGACGTTGGGATGGTTAAAAAAGTTGACGTGATGTTGCGTCGGATCGTCCTCTTGGTCATCCAAGAGATCTGCCTCCCCACCCTGGGCATCCGAGCTACTTTCCGTAAGGTCAGATCAAAACTTTGAGTCGCAAGTAGCAATGAGTACTTACAGTGTGTTCTCCGCAGTATCTCTAGGTCGCAAAGGGAGAGTGAACTCCTCTTGAGTGGACGGCATTGCTGTATCGTTGAGTTTGTTCTTATCCAATAGGATAGGTAGGATTTTGGATGATCCAAGATGAGGGAGAGACTGATGGAGGAGAAGGTGTCCTCTACATTGTAGGTTTGTTTCTCAGCATTCGTAAGTGTTTTCTGTTTCGCCAAAGATTGGATAGGTCACCAGCATATCACAATCGTTTCGGTGGAATTCATCAACGGAGCAATGGTGATTATAATCCATGTCATCGCACTACAGATCTAGGGTCGAACGTCTTTCCGCGACGACACGAGAGCCAAAGCAGACCTTTGAGGGTTCTTTGACCGAAATTGAGACACTGAACGCGTACCAAACTCCTTCTCCCTGTCGGTCGGACGCTTCATGATCCAGGTGAGTGCTCGTTGAAGAAGTAAACGCTACGGCTGTCAGTCAATGATTGACGTTGTCATCATTGCTATTTGCCCCAGCTCATTTTCACAACCATCGAGATGCCAAGCAAATTCTCGACCATCTCGCGTTCAAAGCCTCCAGGTCTAAATCGCCGCATTCTCACGGGAAATTTGCCGTGAAATTGCTTTCTTGAAAGCCAGAGAAAGGATCCCCAGGAAAGATGGCCAGTCTCGAGGATGGATGAAGTTGTCGCCGGGTAAACTCTGGAGAATCGTAGCCACTCATGGCCGCCCTTTCCGGGGGCGGGTCAACCTTTCCGCTGTGGCTAAACTCCGGGGCGTTGTGGACCAGTAGCGCGGTTTAGTGAGACCAGGGGTCTGCGGGGGGCATCTCCCAATTGGGAATCACGGCCAGCAACGGGGAGCTTTTCGACTTCTCAACCCGAACACGCCCCACGCCCGATCGAAGTCTAATGCGCTTACACGATAGTCCGATGGTTTTGGCCACCGGCTTCTGTCCCGACATCGCGGCTTCAAACGTAGCTGGCATGGGTATGTTCATGTATAAAAAGCCACGATGTTCAGGAAGCTGACTTTGCCAGGCTGATGCTCTGATTACCCCACGATCGTCACTCTCCCACCCCTGTGCATCTTTCATCGTGTACAACAACATCTTGGAGACCTCTTTTATCAACCATGGCTACATCATACCCCGAACTCGTCTGGACTCAAACGTCGCCTGGGACATGGCAGCGTAGCATCGACGAAGTTGAGGAGTTCTACGCCTCCATGCCCGTCCTCTACGAGGGCAGCGGCCTTATGTTCTTCGCTATCACTGGCCATGTCTCTCTGACCTTTGACACAACCGGCACCAGCGGCTCTTCCGATGCTGCTCAACGCGTCTGCGAGGCCCTCAAAAGTGCCTGGCTGGCCCTGCGTCACGATCATCCCACCATCGCCTCCCAAGTCACTCGGGACCTCACCACAGGCAAATGGCTAAAGACGTACCACCAACTCAAAGACGAAGCCGAACAGCAGTCCTGGATCAACAAGACTCTTATTCCCATCACCACCGACCAAAGTGGCGTAGAATGGGCCAACTCACAACCGCCAGCTCCAAAGATCCCAACCCTCTTCATCCTCAGTCCACCATCCACCACCACCAACATCATCCGCCGCGACCTCGTCCTCCGCTCCCCCCACGACATCATAGACGGCATCGGCACCCTCACCCTCCTGAACAACCTTATAACCCATGCCTCCAAAGCATTCTCCTCGCCAAACACCCCCAGTGCCCTAAGCTTCACCGGCTCCGAGGCCGCAAACCTCAGCCCCCCCTACCGCATCGCAGCCAACGTCCCCTCAACCCTCACTGAATCCCAAACCGCACGCCTAGCCACAATGGCCGCCCAGAAGACCGCAGCAATGACCCCCCCACCCGGCACCCAACTCATTGACATGCCCTACCGCCGCGGCCAACTCCTCCCCGGCCGCCACCAACGTGTCGCAATCACTCTCACGCAAGACCAGACAGCCCGCCTCACCACAGCGTGTAAATCCGCCGGCGCGACCGTGACGCACGCCTTCCACGCCGCCATCGCCCTCGTGGTCCGCGACATCCAGCCACCGTCCACTCGCGCGCCCCAGACGAAACGCATGCGGTACGTGAACTACATCCTCCGCAACGAGCGCGCAAGCTGCCAGCCGCCGTATAACTCTTCCAAACACCCCGCTGCGCTGTACCACTCCGTCCCAGGACAAAGTCTCGTCGTCGACATGGACCTCCCAGCCTTGGACGACGATAACGCCAACGCCAAGCCCACCTCCGACAAGGACGAATTCCTCCCCGTCGTCCAGATAATGAAGGACTTCTACCACAGCGTCAAAGACGACAAGGAGCACTACGCCCTCGCCTCGACGATCTGGGCCGCCGGAAACCCCACGGTCCCTCTATCCTCCACCCCGCTACCCGTGCCGCCGCCCAAGGAACATCCTTCGGTATCAATTTCCAGCATGGGCCGCGTCGACGGCATCATCGCCCCCAAGACGGGCGCCATCGAGGCATACGATCCGTGGGTGACTGGCGAGGAGCTGGGCAACGGGCTGGGTCTGTTCTTGGGTACTTTCAGGGGCGAATTATGTCTTAGCGCTGCGTATAACGACGCTTGGCACACCGAGGCGGATGTCCTGGATTTCTTGAGACGTTGCAAGGATGTAGTTTTCCGTGGTTTCGGTCTCTCGAATGAGTAAAAAGGCAGGCTAGGGTTGACAATGCCGGTTGCCGTTGAAAGTCCAATCTCCTTTGTCGATTACTATCTTCTTGGGTACTGAGAAGAAGATGAATTTTGAGCTATTTTGTTTGCCCCAAAACGACTACTGGTACATAAATGATATTCGACACGTAGAATTAAGATTCACAGTGAGAAGGAGAGATTATTGGTCAAAACAAGAAACCCGAGTAACAACTGCTTTGTTGCTGCGTTCCACAAAGAAATAACACATACCCCCCCCCCCCTGGCTTGAGTCACCACAAGTCTATTGGCAGCATACTTTTGGTGGCCGCTTGAGTCTTCAGCAATGACGAGGCGCCCAGACATGGCGCCCAGACACCCAAGCTTGTCATTCGCCGCATCGTCTGTAGCATGCTCGTAGTTACGTCGGAACCCAAATCAGCGGATGTTCGAAACATTCTAGACTGCTTCTTTTTGCATATGATCCAAGACCACATGGAACGCTGAGTACTGGGTACACGCTTCCAACATACCATATACACACCCTCACAACTGGCTCCTCTACGATACGTACCGCAAAGTGTTTCCAGCCTTGGACGCTGCTGGCATTCAGGTTGGGTCAATTGTCTTACAACTTTGCCCCGGTTTGGTGTTCACGAAGATGTTGGAGATCTCGACGGGTTAAGCGTTTACAAGCATCTTTCACAGAGACAATATCATGAGCGGTTCGCAAAAACATCGTTTGCGGTTGACAACGGAGTATGCCTTTTGTGTTCCCAAGCTCATGGCATTTTAGGGGGTGGGTTTCATCAAAGTCTCACAAACATAAGCCGAGAACAGGGGGGCAGATAAGAATATTTGGTTTTTACGATGATTAAAAGTCAGATTAGGAAAGACGGTAAGCTGTGTGTGGTATCCAAGTACAGAATACTGAAATCAGACTTCGCCTAGATTGCTGCCTGTATCTTGACCCGCGACATGTTGATTTCTTTGCTCGCTGGATGAAACACTGGCTTTTCTTTGACTGTGGCGCTTACACAGATCTAGAAGAATCTGTTATACATGCGCTTCCACGTAGGCCAAGAAGCAACTTCGGCCTTGTAGCGGTTCATCTCCTCCCAGTCGAGCTCGCGGCGTCCGGTATCAACGTCCATCTGGTGGGTGCGGAGCCAACCAGTGCGTTTCCAGGCGAAGCCAATGATCCAGAAGACAATGATAACAGGGACGGTAACCATGGCCTCAAAGAATCCAGCGGCATCGTTGAGCTCGTTGCCCTGTCCTGCGGGTGCGATGGCAACAAAGAGCTGCGTTCGAGGTCAGACAGGATACAGAAAGAAAGCGCCGTGAGATGTAGGGAAAGAATATAGCTTACCTGGGCAATTAGCACAAGAATGCAAAGAATCAAACCGACCCAGGATCCGGCAACACCAAAGGCAGCCTTGAAAGGGATCTCATCGACGGTGTGTCCGTGATAGGCCCAAGCCTTGCGGAATCTGATGTGAGCCAGACAGATAGATCCCCATGTGAACAGGGCAGCAAGCGCCGACATGGCAAGAAGCCAATTAAAGACCGTCTCGCCACTAGCGTCCAAGTTGATGTAGGCAAGAGCGCCGCAGACAAGGTGGACAGCAACCGAGGGCAGAGGGCGGCCAGACTTGTCGACGTAGGTGAAAATCTTGGGGGCATAGCCCTGTTGCGCAAGAGCCGTCAAAGTACGGGAGCCGCCGTAGACGCACGAAACTCCCAGTGAGAGGACTGAAACTAAGATGATAGAATTCATAAAGTGATCATATCCGTTTAGACCAGCGTACTTGGCGGCTAATACGAACGGTGATGTACCTTCGGCGTAAGGGTTGTCGGCACCGAGAATATTCTCGTCATTGGAGCTGATGAGGAGGCCAACGAAGAAGAGGCCGAGGATGTAAAACAGGGTGATACGCCAGAAGACCTGCTTGATGGCACCTGGCAAGGATTTCAAGGGGTTGCTGGATTCGGCAGCGGCCAAGCCAACGAGCTCGGTACCTGCAAAAGAGAATGCAGCAGTAACGAATACGGCACAGAATCCTTTGAAGCCGTTCTTGAAGGCGCCAGGGTCGTGCCAGTACCGCGCCCCCCAGTACTCGTCATAGCGACCACCGGCAGGGCCACCGCCACATACGAGTACGAGAGCCACAATCATGAAAATGACTGCAGAAGGTGTGAGTGCGTGGTGAAAGTCACGATGAGTGTAAGCTTACCGATGGCCGAAAGCTTAAGAAGGGACGACCAGAATTCTTCCTCGGCATATCCCAGAGTTCCAAAAACGTTGATGAAGGTTATTGCAGCCCAGAAGATTGTGATCCACACAGCGAGGCTGATGTCTCTGGCCCCTTCCCAGTAGTTGATTGTCAGACCACAAACCGTCAACTCAAGCGGTAGAACGATAGCCCACTGTCACCCGTATTAGACACATCATGACACTTGAAGAAGACTTGGTCAGTCGAAGAGGTAAAGCGGCTTACTTGGAAGACGTAGTTCCATCCCATTGCGAAGCCCCAAGAAGGATCGATGAACCGAGTCGAGTATACGTAGAAGCCACCGGACACAGGATACATAACAGCGAGTTCACCAAGAGCGTAGACAACATTGAACATCATGATACCAATGATCGAGAAGTCGAGAAGAATGGACCCGGGCCCCTATGTCTGGTCAGCGCGATATTCGAGTATGTGCGGGGTGTGGTAGAACGAACACCGGTAGCCAGAGCACCTCCAGACCCGACGAAGAAACCAGCACCGATGGAACCACCTGGGCGGACGACTAGGTTAGTAAAGATATACATAGTAGCTACATATAGCTTCCATACCAATAGCAATCATGTGCAAGTGACGAGTCTTCATGGTACGGTCAAGTTCAACGATGCCATGTCCATAATCTCGGCGCTTGAAGGACTCGAAGTTGAGTCCATTTCGAGTGTAGAAGTCGTCGTCGCGCTTCGCGCCTCCATGGCTGAGATGGCCCTCGCCGATGGCGTTTCCAGGCTTACCCTGGACGCCCTCGGTACGACTTTCGGGTTGAACTTGGGTAGTTTCGGGGGTCGAGACGCCATCATGGACATCCTTTTCGGTCGCCATTTCGGCCAAGTGTTTGGCTTGTCCTTTGACGCAATCCTCGGGCAAAGAATGTTACTGGTATGGCTTGGAACCTTTTGCGAAACAAAAGGCTGAGGTGGATCGAACAATGGGTTCGGAGGCCCAGGGGCATCAAGTGCAAGGAAGGGATCAGGCAGTTCTGAAATAGTGGATTGTGGTGAATCACAAGGAGAGGAGAAATCATTTGCGGTCGAGAGGGGGACGGGGTGTTTTAAGAAGAAGACGCGGCCGATCAAGGATACCACCTCGACCTCGTCGCCCATCCTATCAGCAACCCAGCATGCCCGCATCCCATTCGGCGTTGCCTTGTCGCGCCGGGAAACTACTTCTGGACATGGCTATCTGCGGCGAAGGTATGCGGGCGGGATCAGAGCAACGTATGCGTAGGTCGAGGGTGCTACTCGGCGAGTGACAGTGCTCGCAGGATGGATGGATAACCCAGAGAGATTAAGATGGGTGTCTGCCAAGGGCCAGAGGAAGGCCAAGTGTTGGGGAAGTGGAGTTAAGCTGACGGGGTGCTAGACGAGAAGAGAAGGTGAAAGTCGAGTTTCTAGGGAAGCTTATGATTGACAAATTGCGGGTTAATCGATTAGAGCCTTGGGTGCTGGCAAGTTGGGCTTGAGAAAGGGAGACTAGAACCAGCATTGGATGGTGGTGGGCGTGAACGTTGGAGGTTGACGTGGAAGAGAAGAGATGAAAACAAGGAGGACGTCGGGTGAACATGGTGTGTTTCTGTCATGGGAGGGGAAGAGAGCATCATGAGGTACCTTTGCGTACCGGAGTCGTAGCTTTAAAGCCTGCCATTATCAGCGGAGCCCGCCCGGGCAGCTGCATGGAAGGTCGTTCCGCGCCTTCTAGGGGCGGCGGGGGGCATCGACCTTGGCGGAGAGGTGTGGGCCCTTCGGAAGTACCTGAGTACCTGCGTGATTAGGTAAGGCAGCCGGCGGACGTGGAGGAAGGAGGAATCAGCGGGTGGTTGTGGCCTGGAAGGAGTAAGAGGGGAGGGAAGGGAACGGAGGGAACGGAGGATCCCCAGACGCACCTGCCTTTCACTCATGACCTCCTTTGGGATACTGAGAGGCACGCATGGTCTGTGAAGAACGAGGAAATTGTTTTCTATCGACTGTGCCGCTCTCATACCTTTCAACATTCGACCAAAATCAAGCCTAGGACAACTGCAGCCATCATCCTTCCCCCCGGCATGACTCCCGTCTGACAAGCGCGTCTCTCGCCAAGCAACTGCCGGCCGTCCTTGCGCTCAACCGCCGCCCATGGCACCATCAATGATCGACAATAGCATTTAATCGTCAACAGCTCACTTTCTTCCATACTGAACATGGAGCACGCGCACGCCACAAGAAGACCATCAAAATGATGAAGCAAAGCACCATCGCTACATCAATCGCTTGACACTCTGGGCCTATGATTAAATGCCATTCCTGCTTTCCCAAGCTTCTCTTCTCCGCGAGCGCCTTCCATTTGCGGTTGCAGACTTGGGACGCCTGCCGAGCTCTTGGCCGAACCAAGAACATCTCCTCCAGGCCAGTCAGCGTTGGAGATGGCAACGCTGAATCACACACGCGATTACGTATTCGCAATTTGAAATGAACGAACAACTCTTCCGAGAGGGTACACGACCGATACTTCCCCGAGACTACCGTGGCTTTCCCCAAACACCGCCGCCGGCCTTCTCGTTTCCCCCGGTCGCCCAGAGACAAACGATGCACAACCCACAAATATGCGCCGTCTCACTCGCCAGCCGAGAAATGCCAACCATCGCCAACAGGTTGGCAATTTTTGGCAGCTTCTATCAACGCTTCACGACTGGTACCAAGCACCCGCCAAGTTGCAATATCGGTGTTGGCACCTTCGCCACGGCCAGATAAGCCCCCAGTGCCATCCTTTTGGACGCCTTCCACTGGCCTTTGCACCTGCCAAAGACACGGGCCCAAGAGACCATTTCGGATCGCTCCAAGAGCACAGACAGCACCAAAATCTAGGTTGGGCCGACCATCACACCACACAACCTCCCAAAATCACTATTACCTATGGTTTGTGGGCCTCGTTTACAGGCTCGGGCCAGCAGCTCCTGTCAAAAATCCATGGCGAACACTTCGCCTATCTCTTAGCTTCAATTCGACATATTCCATCGGCCGTCTGGACCCTTCCGACCTTCTTGAATCGAGAGGCTGTGCCGCTTACCTGGTCTTGGAGGGCTGCTGATTGAGCCTTCTCTAGGAGGTGTCGTTGTCTCGGCACGCCAGCCACGTCGTCAGGGTACGAGAGAGGCTGAATCCCCCCGCACCCATAACACCTTCTAGCACACCCGCAGGCCGTCCCAGGTAGCACCCGGCCTGCTGACTTACGCCCATCGAACACGCCATGCCACACCGTTCACACCACCTCTTTCACCTCCCCTTTCCGTACTGGTCAGCTAGCATCGAAGCATCGCCCGAGGAGCGCAACACATACCTGAGCTTCCCATTCAACTGAAACGAATCCCCGGCCGTTATTTTCCGTGTTTGCAACGGGATTCGTACAAGTCGAATGGGATTGCCGCTACTCACGAGCTGCGATACTGCAGCAACATCTCTTGAATCTCCACGGCTTGCCTTGCAGCACCTTTGAGGCTTGCAGACTGAGTACAAACTATGATGATCTACGAAAGGCTTCGGTCTTGCTACATTATTCCAACGACAGGCTGGTTGTTCTTGCTGACGCTACAGCTCTTTCAGCAGACGAGTCGTAACCGAAGCATCAGCTCCCAGTCGTCTACCAAGGCCGGGCGTCTTGCACTAAGCCAGCCTTCGGTCTTGCCTTCAACTTCGAGAAATATCACCGAGACAAGGGGCACACAGCATCATAGGGAACGGCCAAGCCTAGAACTACCCTGTCAATTTCCCTCCCATTGGGCGTCCAAGAGTGGTCCTTGTCCATTCCACCACACCTTGTTCAGCGGGGACCAGACCTACTACACTTCGAACCAGTGAGCTTTGAACGACAGGGGGAGATCGGCACATGCCAGTGACAGAGTAATGGGGAGCCGAATTTCTTCATATTAGTTACGTGGCAATATCCGACTGCTTATCATAGGCAAAAGCTTTTCTATCTGATGCTTGATCCAGGTCTGAGGTGAGTTGAAAGGAGTTGCTGATTCCCCAGGGACCTGATAGCGTCTAGAGCAAGATCTCAACGTCACCTTACCAAATGTCCTAGATTTCCCGCTACATGAGGACAATTCCCTCTGGTTCAAGCCCCACTTTGTCTGCAACTTCGATGAACTCCCCTTCCATCATCCCATCAACATAGCACTCCCCGACCAGTGCTCACGCGGGCTTTCCGCGAAAGAATCCTACTTCCCTTAGTATAACCGGCACTGAACAACCAAGTAGAATAGCTACGCGATCTCCTTTCCTAGTTCCCGGGGGCACGAAACCCGGATGCTTCGGCGAAGTAGACCGCGTTGTTGTGTGCCTTGAATTGATGAGTCGGGCTGTGATGAGGTGTCACGATGCTGGCCGTACCAATGCATTCGTAGCAGAAATCAAGTTTCTCGCAGTCGACGCACTCGTACCCTGTGCCTTGTATTTTGCTGTGGCATTCGTCACAGAGGATCATCTCTCTCCATCGAGCAATACTGCATGTCGGGTAGGGCTTTGGGCGATAACCTTCTTGGCCGAGCCTTAGTCTGGATAAGGGCTGTCCGAATGTCGTTAGGGACCTTGTATTGTATCCATGAAACCGATGTGAATGTTCGGGCATAAAGTCGATGGTCTGAAGGCCATACCACGGGATCCAGGAGGAAGGGTGGCTGACAGAGAGAGAGAAGGACCTGTCGTGTATGCGTCTACAGATGATATCTAGACTTCCAGTCTGTTGTATGATATGCAATGTAGGTTTGGCAAAGATCTCCGTAGTTGTAGCTTGGTCTGAGTAATCTGGAAACCATTCCTCAGTGTCAATATCACTTGCCATTGACAAGAAGGCATAAACACCGTCTCGGGCATCAAAAGACTCAAGTCCTGAAAAGCTGTCTAATAGCTTCTCCAAAGTGATAGATGGCTTGTCTCCTTTCATAACTGCACTATATGCCCGCCAGACTCGTAATATGGTGTCGATGGGATCCACCACCAGTGTCGGGTTCTTATGAGTGTAAACATGGTCTCCACAAACTCTTCGGCATTTGCTATACTCTGATGGCTCTTTGTGTAAGTGGTAGGATTTCAGCTGAAGAGACCCAAACCCACAGAGCCACACGAGATAGCCCAAACGAAAGGTCCGGCTACCCAAGTGAGCGTGTTTCTGGTTAGATAAAACAACCTCTTGAACCGCCCAACGCCGCGATACCCAAGGCCTGTTGATCAGACCAACGAATGCTGCCCATTGCTCGTGCGTCTGATTTTCCCCAAAGCGCTCCCCTGCTTCTGCGATTTGGTCGGACAACCGGCTCGACCAAGCGAACTCTTCGTGCCCGTTTTCGACCAGGCAGTCTCGAAATGACTGTAGAAGATCAAGGGCGACATCGCTATTCTCTGACCACTCCCCCAACCATATGACGATGCTTTACGATTGATAAACCAGATCCATGGTCGCGACCTGATGGCCCTTCTCGACGTTGTCCGTTTGGTTGATGCAGATCGCATCAATCCATAATATGTGAGCTTCCTTGTTCCGAAGCTGTTTAAGGCACGACTCGAGATTCGGTCTTATGGAAAAAGGTTTCTATGTAGAATATCCGGCATTTTTAAGCCAGATTGAGCATGACGCGTCTTGCTGACCCCAGGTGTAGGACAAGGGCTGGTATGATGGTGCTTCTTCGCGCAGACAGACAATCATTTCGGCGCCAAGCTTGGTTGGTTTCACATCAGAAGTTGGTAAAAGCTTCAGCAGTCTCATGCACTTTCTTGGATCCGGTAGTGCTTTGTATTCATATGTCGACATGGCCGGCGGATTGGCCGTGCGTCGAAGGCAAATGGGGAACGGTTGTCGGGATGCTCACACTTTCTCAAAGCACAACTCTAGGATGCAGCTCTTGAAGCGAGTGTCGTGCTACCGATCTAGTGGAGAGGAAGGATCTGTATGTTTTTTATCGACGTATATAATGAGCCTCTCAAAATTTGGGTTACTTCCGCAGAGTATGTTCTGCGCCAAGTGACACGTAACGCGCGCTGTCAGGCACCTAAGATACAGGCGAGTACGAATGACATACTCAGATCTACAACACCAATCATCACGTTATGTGAAATACTGAGACTAAGGGATGATGTGTCTCGAGTAGAACCGGCGTTGGCCGGTCTGGTGTAACGTGGCTTCGGTGAGAGAAAGTGGCCCTCAATGGCTCTTTGCATGCCCTGGGAAAGGATAGATAATATGGTCCAATAAACCCGAAAGATGCAATGTTGCATATAAATGCTGATACGTGGTCTGCTGCCAACCAAATGAGAAAAGCACTTCAAATATGCAGTCACATAGTTGGCCAGGTACTGACTGGCCGCCTCTGTTGACACGAGGCATTATCGATGAGGCTGGTCCTGATGACTCGCGAAGTTCATCACCAGATTCCGTCATTACATCTCATCTTGTTGGAACTTGTTCGACAAAAGATAGAAATTAAGTCAATGATGTGCGAGATGGCAGTTGAGAATCGATAAGCGCAACCCCGTTCCATCTCTTACTCGTTAGAGATAAGGTAGACATTAGTGGCATTAATAAGAACAGTCCCGTCTGTTTGAGAGCAAAACTTTCGCTTTGTGAAGAACCGTCTATGTAGACTTACGGCTCCCTGGGCAGCACAAAGGCCTACATCAGAAAGAACTCCGGAGGTATCACTATAGGTGCTTGGTATCTGAGGGCCTCTTCAGGCTTTGGTGGATGAAAGATGAGATTTTGAGCCTGACCACTAAGAATGGAAGACTTGATACTTGATCTGCATCATTTATTCTTCATGCTCAATTTCAGACTACTGAGCACCCATTAGCCAGCATGAATTCCGAATGTGGTCGTACCTGTCCAGCGAGGCGTTCAGCTGGGGCCATTACGGCCAACCGGGCCTTCTTCAAGGACAGCCAATCAGAGCCATCGTTCAAAGATATAGCAGTGGGTGCCCAACTATCGTAGCCTAACGGCAATTCCCTTCCGTTTGACAACGGCCCGGCTATAGCCGTGTCACGGGTTTGATCAAATTGCCATAGGCTATGGCGCTTGAATCAGGAATCGAGACACAAAAACAATTACCTTACTACGAACATCTTGCAAGGCACAGCAGCTGCAGATGCTTGGGGCTTTCCAGCCGACTTGGCGTTCGGTTTGTCCAAAAGACCTTCGCATTTGATAGACCATCGAATACTTGTTATATTACAACTCCACTATCGCGGCTCGTGCCACGCTTAGCGAGTCAGCCGACTACCTTCGGCATCGCAAAAGCCGGAGAGTACCCATACCTTCAAGTCTTCACACTTTACCCTCCGGTGCATTGCATAGCTGACTTGAGTCTAAACTGCGATTCTAGTCTCGACAAGTCACAGCCATATGCCTCAGAATGTCGCACACTCAAGAACATCTGAGCCACTACGTTCCCGCGGCCGGGGACTATCTTGTGCATTCAGCTTTTTGAGCCTGTCGATAATAAGACTTGTCACTTTCAGACAAATAAGGCGAAACAAGAAGATGTAGACAGCCAGAGTGGACGGTGAACCCGACGGCGGGAGATGAACGATGGGGCCGTCGTGAAGTTAAATAAAGTAGTATTCCAGAAGGCGGAGCAATTCACGGCCCGTGCGGCTAGTTCGTCGTATCATGTTGCGATTTTGAAGGTGAACATTAAGGCTTTCCGACAACAAGCTTTTGGCTTCACGATACCATTTGATGAGGCGTCGTGTCAGACACTAAATGAGCGTAAGATGCGTTGTTGCACATTTTCAGCAGCGGCTTTATAAATGCCCACTTTGCGGCGCTCTCGTTGAATCTCTTTTTCCGCATCTACCCATCCTCCAGAACCAACTGCCAACATTTATTCCCCGAAACAAATTAAGCCCATCACATCATTTCAAGATGCGCTCTGATTTCCTCCTGGTCATGGCGGCTACTTTGGGCTCTACCGCCGCCCTCCGTCGCTCCTGCAAGCACACCAAGGCCTCGGAAGGCTGGTATTACACAACTTCATCCGATACACTCGACATTCTCGCCGCCGACTTCTGCACGTCACCTCAGGTCATCAAGGAGTGGAACAACATCCAGAACATCAAGCCTGGTATGAACCTAAAGGTGCCGTGCCACTGGAACGCCGGCAAACAGCGAGACTGCGCCAAGAATTCGGCGTATGATGGCGCTTACGTGGTCGTGTCCGGCGACACCCTTAACAAGATCGCCTATGACTTCTGTACGACTGCGGATGTGCTGCAGCAGAAGAACTCGGGCCTGATCAAGAACAAGGATCTGATCTACCCCGACTGGGTCATCCAAGTTCCTTGCAGCTTCAACTGACCGCAGTAAGTGGCGGACGTGTGGAGGAATGTTGCAAAGGGAAAGGGGCCGAAGGGCATTTTAAGATCAATAATACTTAATTCTTTGTTAATGATGCCATTAATTTTCTTGTTCAGACTTGATTGAGACTCAGCGTTTCAATGCCTCCATGCTAGGATGCTTGGGTTTGACCATGTATCTCTAGTCATGAGTGTAGCTCAGAACCCCTACTGGCTATCAGTCGCTCTGGTTCTTTGATCAACCAGGAAGGGAGCAGCGCAACTGGTCGCCATGGTCTGCCTCTCAGTGGCATACTTCACCGTAATCTGTATCACGACAGTGTCTAACTGCGGCCGCTGAGGTTAATTTCCACCACAGTAGTCCCACTCCTGTAATGCTACTCGTGCTTTAAGAACAGGCGACATCGCTAGTTTGGTTTCCAAAAAAGGGCCGTGCAACCAAGTCCGATGTTGCTGCAGATTCGCAGAATGATCTTGAGATAGGCTCAAAGAATATTCTTGCAATCGATATATTATTCGATGCATTGAATGCTCACCGCCGATGTGCTGGAGACCATAGCTGCCGCAGTCGTTGTTGTTGTAACCTGTCAATGAATCAATCCATCACTGCCAAATCAGGTTCCATACTCCTACGTCAGGTATCATTACTCTCAGTATTATCGGCACCGAACAAAAGATAATAATCGCAACGCGACCTCCCAGTTGCGTTCCAGAAGGTACAAATCCCAGAGGACCTTGTCATTGTTGCCAGTCTTCGATTGTTAGACAATGCGGCCGCGATTCAAGACAGGATACCGCCGCTGTGCTCAACACCAGAAAGGTCACGGCCTACGTTGCATTTTCTTCGTCATGTCTCCACGCACCTGAGTCCAATATTCTTGATACCTTCCTGCTCCATATGCTCATTACTGCGTGCCATAACTCGTGACAGCTTTTGATAGTTAGCCTCGCGGGCAGTTTGCTCTAGGTCCCCCAGCCTCATCCTAGACCAACACACCCATCTTGCCTCAGTAATGACCGAGCAGCTGCTAGACAATGGCTGTGTTTTTCAGTCGCTATGATACATAGGTCAGCCTGTTATGGGCTGAGGTCCTGAGGATCCTCATGGCCATCGATGTAGGTGCACGCAAGCCCATTACCATGTGTTGAGACCAGAGTTCCCTCGAAAGAAGCCTTGGGCGACATGCAGATCCGAGATTCAATGTAAGTCAGCCCACCCACTTTTGGGCCCTGACAATATTCAGACAAACGCCTTGCAATCACGCGTCATCGTCCGCGCATTTTTGGACTGGGTGGACAAGCCTTCTAAAGCCATTTTTTGTGCAAGCTGCGTGGAATATTACTCTGGGATACCGTATGGAAAGGCGTAACGGTGGATTCTGATTGTTGAATGACCAGCACATAGTTGGGATAGGTCAATCTGCGCAGCTGCAAATATTGCCGGGATACAGTAAGAGACCTGCAGGTGACCTTTGTCTGCGAATCACCAAAAGTAAGGCTTGACAATAGCTCACTGATAACAGCAACGTTGAAATCAATAAAGATACTGTTCGCGACAGAGCTGAATGACGTCCTGAAACGAGATGTCTCTTGGTG